TACCAGAAATTGTGAATGTTGTCTACACCAGGTGTCTTCCAGTTGTGTGTTCTGTTAACAGCGTAGCGAATGTCATGTATGTTTATTTCAGCACAGGGCATAGTTGGTATGTTATGCAAGTTTCTGTTCTCCTCCTCAATCCAGCCTGCATCAGCATTTTGTGTAACAGCATTGGACCAAACAGAAGACCAATAAGTTGTGAGTTCTTCTTCTGTTGGTGTGCCACTGTGCTGTGTATCAGTGTTTGTTTTGGTACTGATTTGTCTGTAGAAAAGTTTTTCATTGTTTGTGAATAATTTATTTTGTTGTTTTCATAATGTACATGTTTTGTTTATGCTTCTAACACAATAAAGTGCTATAAATTAAGACACGGGTGGCAATAAAGGCTATAAAATAAAACACTTAATTTATAGCACTTTATTGTGTTAGAAGCATAAACAAATTGTAAAGCACGGTTTCATATCATCAAAAGTACATGTTTTGTATCGTTTGAGTCTACGTGGTTTGGCTGCGAGTTTCTGTTTTAGTGTATCGATGTATTCTGTAATGTGTGTGTTGTGATGTTCATGTTTTGTGTGTGTTTTGATTTTCTTGAAAATGTTTTTGAGTTGTTTCTTTAATTTGGGTGTTATGTTGTTTTTAGTGTATTGTGTCAGCCTGCCTAATTGCTGTCTAATGTCATTTATTTGTGTTTCTATTCTTCTCTGCCAGGCAGGCTTGTGATAGAATTGTGTTTTGTGTGTGTTCGTCTGTGATTGTATTTTCAGTCCATGGTGTGTTACTACTGTGATTGCCACAGCATAAACTAATGTATGAATGTCTGAGAGTGTAGAAATTGAATGAATGTGGTTTGGTAGTAAATGAGTGTTTACATTATTTAATGTTTTTCCTACTACCTTTGACATGTTGATTTTCGGTATTCGTGGTCTTTGTGTGGGATCTGTGCCTGTATATTTAGTGAGTGTTTCCTGAAATATAAGTGAGAGCGTATTAACTAATTCTATGTCTACGTTATCAGTGATGGATGGGGAAGTGCCTGCAGTATCATTAGTGGTACTTGTTGTGTGTGTGCTGTAATCAGTGCTTGTTGCTGGATTATCCTGACAGGTTACGTGATCTTCATTAATGTTAAATGTTTCTGTCTGTTGATGTATTTGATCAGCAACCTGTTGTTTGATAAGTTCAAGTGTTGTTTGTGGGATAAGGTTGTTGTGTATAATTGTTCGTTTTTGATCAACAACCCTTTGTTCGGTGACAGTGAGGTGAGGATATTGTTGTGTGAATATGTGGTGTAGTTGTTGTCTGTATGCTGTCATGTTTGTTTCGAGTCTTGTGATGGTGTAGTAAGTGCGGATGATAAACTCGTTCATTTCTGTTGTCCATTTCATCCGTTGGCGTGGTTTTCCAGCCTTTGTGGTCTGTGGATGCATTGCCACAGAAACACCAAGGCTAGGTTGATTCCTCACATCTGTTGAGGGCATTGCAGTAGCCATGCTTGGGCCGGCGCTGCTTTCGCCACCGGTAACCAAGGGAGACTGGAGCCTATTTTTCGAACGTGAGCCTCTGCCTAACCCACGAACGCGGACCTTGTTAACCCGGGCGACGTCCGAGCCGGTATCATACTTAGATCTGGTTACTACCATAATGATTATCTCCACAGAATGTGGGTGTGTGGTCACTCTTAGCTTCATTTCTCCCCATAGACCTTACTGGCATGGGTGTCCCTGCCAGGAGCTTGTGCTCCAGCCTGCATTGCTCTATGGTTCAGTAAAATTACTGGGCTCTCCCACCACGACCAGGTGGTGACCACGGGAGAGTTATTAATTATTATTATTATTATTAACAACTATATATAGTTAATAGTTAAATGCATTTGTGAACAATAGAGTTGGATTGTAGGATTTAATAAAAAATATGAGTTGCATATATTCTGTGAATGAAAAACATTAATTTTATATTAATAAATTCAAAATTTTATCCAAATATTTTTTAAATTATGAAGTTCATATCTAATGTTTTGGAATAATTCTTAATAATCTATGAGTAAAAAGCAAGCATTTAAATAACTGTTTTAATAGATTATTATATATGGTAATAAAATAAATACTTACAGTAACATGGCACAACAAACATTTATCAGAAAATCAAATCTTTTATGATCAGAAAATAAAGAATCCCATACTCTGATCACATCTGAAAATATTAAAAAAGTAAGTTGATCATTATAAATTATATAGAAATAAAAAGAATTGTTTATAAAACACAATTATAAAAATTTATTACATTTAAAATTTTTGCACTTTTATCATCATCAAACACTTGAATATATTAGAATGAATTAAAGATGCTTATGCTAATATTTCATAACATTAATTCCTCTGAGATGAATAATATCATGTGTCCAAAAGTTAAACATAATAAAAATAATCCATAAAACAATTTATGTGAAATGCTTTTGACTTGAATAATGAGTTGAAAATATTTTGAAATGTTTATAACACATTTGATTCTTTATATTATCTTTAACATAATCTGAGAAAAACTCATTCAGTAAGTTGAAAACAGTTGTTTTCACTGTTAAAATAGTAATGGACATAACATTTCACTAATGAATGCTTTATCATAGTTATACATACATAATGACAATGTCTATACATAGTAAACAACAACCCATTATGTTCATATTGCCAAGTGATCTGCCAAATTAGCTATCACATTAAATTAAGGCTAATTAGTTATTATTTTAATTTAGCCTGATAAGAGTATCTATTGTAGTGTTTGGAAAACAATCCAATGGATACTCTTTCTTCCAGTGGGCACTAAGGTGGCTTTTTTTGAGCCCGTCATGGGTTTGACCATTATTATTCTGTGTATTTTTTCAATGCGCAGTGAGCATCGAAATAAAAAATACTGTAAGGCCCTCACAAACTTATAAATTTTTCTTTAATACTTAAAACATTCATTACTGCAGCAAACCTGATTGTTACATCATTTGAATACCACCACAGTGTATAAGTTACATTAAATGCTAAATTGTGTCTTAAACAGGTATAATAATAAATAAAAAATAAGTATTCACAGCAAAATTTCTAAATGATAAATTCCAAAACAATGAAAAACAAAACTGAAACAAAATGAAAGATCTCCAAAATATATAACTTTATAAATTTACTACAATACTGCACTAATATCATTTGATGGAATGCAATTACACTAATTTGGCAGGAATATTGCCAATTTCAATAACTGCTGATTTCACAAATGAACATTTCTGGATTTGATGTAACAGTCATAGCAACAGAACAACATACAATGTAATATTTTTAAAGAAATAAATACTAAAGTTACTGGTATTTTTATTGCTGTTTTGCATTGACACTAGTGGCTAGAATATCAAGTACACAAGAGATGCACTCTAAAATAAATAATGACATTTACAATTTCTTTTCACCATTCTAGAAAGTCTTGCCCTATTCAGTTCAGAATCCACTGGTTCAATCTCATTGTTGTCTTCTCTAATGTCTAGAAATGACACTTAATGATCATTCAATGCTCTCAAAATCTGTCTTTGAGTCACCTGCTTCTAAGTTGCTGATAATTCTGATTTTAATAAAATCATTCATGTGGTATGTTTAATCGTTACTCATTCTCCTGATGGATTCTAGTGATAAGCATTAATTTTGCTGAAGGGAACTAATCACACAAGGAACACATCAGTAATTGACTATGCAAACTCTATTATACCAGTACGAAGTACTGGTACTAATTTGTAATAAATCTAAAAAGTTTAGATTTATTACAAAAGGTCTTCCTTTTTAAATCAATCTTTTTCAACCATTTTACATTTACTTACAATTTTATACAGTTTATCAATATAAAGTTTATTCATCAGTAGTCACTAATATATTTGAAAAACAGTTAAAGATATGTAATAAAGGACTGAGGAGGGACAGGAGGCACAAAATGCTTTTCCTGGTATACAAAGTTTGCAGAGTCAATTACTAATGTGTTCCCTATTTGAGTAAGTCAATTCAGCAAAATTTATGTTTACCACTAAAGAATCTATGTGGTATCTTTATGCCAGAGAAGTCATCAAATACTAATAACAACAATGTATTCAATATTCACACAGAAATAACTTATATAAAACTTTGTGTTGCTGTATTTCTTGAACAGCAGATTATGCATATTTTCTGCAATTTTGATGTAATTTGCCACCATATGTATGGTGATAGAACAGAAAAAAAAATCTGTGTACTAGATTTTTTGTTTGTTTGTTTTGCAGTAACCATTGGTTTGTCAATTATGCTTAACTTTTGGACCAATGTATTAAATGCAATCTTTATTATATCAAGTTTGAGAATTACTACTTATTTCAGTTGATCCACATTGAACTAAAAAGTAACCGGATATTTTCTGAATGTTAAAAAAGAATGTGTACAAAGACAAGATTATTAATCACCAAACATATGCCGTAAATCCATCAGGCTAGTTTTAAGGCTAATTACTAAATAAATTACGTAATTAATTTGGCACTAGAGGTAAGCGTTAGGCGCCATCTCTTATTAATATTAATAATTATAAATAAATTAATTAATTTAAATAATTTAGAACCGCTGGGAGAAATTATTTAAAGATTATTGTACTGCTTATATTTTAACAATTTATATATTTGGTATTACTCACATTTTTTGTATGAATTTTTTAAAAATAATATTAAAAGTTTGAACATAAAGTCACTAGTCTATATTAATTTATAAATTAATAAAAAAAGTTTTTACCAAATTGTTTTTGCACTAATATTTCTGAAAATACCTGGAAGAGGAAATTCCTGAGATAATAAAAGTGTTATCCATCTGAAACTATAATATTGCGGCATTAATTCTAATTCTTGTAAACGAAACCATACATCATAATCATAGTGATTTAACATATTCATTAGTCGATTCATCATTGAACCAATTCCACTAGAAGACTCATCTAGAGATTTAATGAAAAAATCTCTAATTTCAGACATAAGGTTAGTAAAACAGAAGAAACAATCAGCTTCAGCATACCCTGAAAAAATTATTTAAAATCACAAAAAATTTCTTTTAATATTTAATATCTATAAGAGATTTTCAAGATTCTTACTACTCCATTCAGGATTAAGATCGGAAGCAAATGTATAATAAATTGGTCCAATTATTTCATTCATTCCCTGCAATTAATATTTCAAAACAGGTTGAGTCATTTGATTATTTACATCAGTAGAATATTTCAGAAGAAGAAGAAAGAAGAAGAAGAGAGAGAGAGAGAGAGAGAGAGGATAAGGAAAAACTAGAAAAAATGTTTTAAAAATAATTAATAGTTAAATAATACTAGTTTTAAAAGATAATTTTATTATAAAATTTTAAAAACAACTTAAATGTTTAGAGAGTTTAACTCATGTGAAAATAAATTATTAAAATGAATAATTTTCATAATTTATTAAAATAATTTTATAAGTTCAGATTATTAAAATAACTTATTAAAGACAAATTATTAAATTAAAAAACATTTAGAATGTAAAAGATAATATTTTCATTTTTATTTTGTATTATTAATTGAATTTCAAATATTAAATTTAAAATCAAACATCTTTCAGTTTAATTTACAGCAACAAAAAATTTGTTGTAAGTGTTAAGTTTAAAATTAAAACATGAAAAATATTACGTATATATAAATTTAACTAAAGTCCAGATCAACATATAAAGCATTTTTATGTAAAATTTAACAGAAGCAATGGAGTTCAATTAATGAACAAATGGTTAATTAAGTTTATATTGAAATAAAATTTAAAAGTCTAAACATTTGAAAATTTTAAAAAATATATTGTAACTACTTTTTAAATATTTGAACTTTTTGTGCAAAAAAAATATATCACAAAATTTAATACCTGAACATAACTTTGACCTGGATTTAATTTTGCATAGAGAAATAATATTCGTTCTACCACCTCCCAATGTGCTTCTTGGCCTTGAGGCAAATACTGATATTCATCATGTGCTCTTTTTTTAGAAAGTGAAATCTGAAGTTAAATGATTAATCATAAACAGTCAATTTTAAAATATCATTTCAAAATAGGTTACGAATTAATAGCAATTAACTATTAATTGCTATTAATAAGTAATTAATTCTATTAATAGAATTCTATTAATTCTTTTATTTTCTATTAATTCTATTAATATAATTAATAGAAATTAACATATTAATAAAATTCAATTTTGAAAAATTTATAATTCTAACTGAAACAAAATTACAATGTATTGCAAATCATTTTTAAAATCAAATTTTACATTTAATAATAAAAGTAAAAGATGTTTCTACATTTAAAAAAAAATATAATTATTAAGTTTATTTTAATTTAATTGTAAATATCTCATTTTTGAGATACATATGTATTTGAATATAGAATCTTCTATTTTAAAATTTCAATTAAGTTAAAAAATATACAAAAATGTAAAATTAAACAGAAAAGATCACTAAAAATTTGTGTTTGAAATAAACTGGCATTTCTTTTAAAGTTTCTAATAAAATGATATCCATCAAAGCATTTATAAGATCTCAATAAAAGTACTGTTATAAAAATAAAATCATTAATTTTATTAATTATATTATTTTATAAAAACCTATTGCACTACACATTAAGAATGCTTACACTACACATTAAGAATGCTTACATTTGTAATTCCAGCTCTACTGCGAATAACATTTGCAGAACTTAATGCAGTTTGCTTTACTCTTTCCCTAAATGATTCAACTTCTGTATTTTCTACAATTTGTATGCAAGGATAATCTGTCGGTTGTTGAAAAAATGATATGTCTGGACATAAGCGTCTGTAATATATAAAACAATGAATATTTATGTTTTATTTTACTGTAATTTAAAAGAGAAAGAAGATGAAGAAGTATGATGACTAATCTTTAAATAAATGATACATTAGAAATTTAATACTATAGCAATTTATTCAAAAACAGTTAATTTTTTAAAAAGTCATAATTAGCAATTAGTGAAAAATATTTGAGCATGAGAACATAAATATAACAGAAAATATTTTATAAACATATTATTTATAATAAAATATATCTCAATATACAGTAAAATTATTGCATGGAGTTCTCATTGTTTCCAAGAACTTTGTTTTAGGTATTCAAATATGAGCTCACACAACAGCAAACAGGCCAATTTGATGAATTTACTAATTGTAGCTGTATATTCGTTCAGTGAATGGTTGTCTCTTTAATCTGAAAATATTTCTCTCGGTAGACTATCTTACAGCAAGTCAGGTCAATAAACTCTTTTATTGTATTTTCAATTCATATGCATTTCGAACTGGTTTCATTTTCCAGTCCCTCTTCAGTGCTCTAGAATTACAATTAGATATTGAGTTGACAAAAATACAAATTAAAAATTAAAATGAGTAGAGATGCCAAATAACACAACAGAAACATTATTACCAGTACCTGTAAGAACTTTACACACTTCTTTTTCCCGAGTTACATTCATACGGTACTTGTATTTATCATACGAAATTATTTTTCTTGGCGTAAACCATAATATGATTAAACAATGTCGCTATAAATAATAATAATACAATCATAAACCTATTTACAAATAAGTAATATAAAACCTTTTTAAAAATTAAAAAAAATTTTTTTAACAAAAATGTACATACAGGTTTTTTTTCTGTTATATTTTTTGAAAATATTCTATTAAATCAATAGTTCTGTGTGTAAAACGTAATATAATGCAAATATTGCTAAAAAATAAAAATACAATCATAAACCCAGTAATAAGTAAGTTTTAAAACAAATTTTTACAAAAAATATACATACAGGTTTTTTTCTTCAATATCATTTGAAAAATATTCTATTAAACACTAGTTATGTGTTGTATAAATTCACAAATGGTAATCCATACACAATAACTTTTACAACATTTGGTGTTTAGGTTTTACAAACAGTTCACTGGTTTATTGTTACGCCCTCTATAATTTTGTACCATTGTTGTTCAATTTGCATTCCATTAGAGATATTTACAAGATTATTGTTACTATGTTTTACAATTTCAATATGTTCTTTAAATTTTCTTTTATATATATTTTTCTCTACATGTAGAATTTTAATATTATTTCTATCAATATTACAGTTACTATTTTTAATATGGTTATACCAAGGGGAGTTGTTATATTTTAATCTAATGGCTGCTTCATGTTCTTTGATCCGTATTTCTAAAGCTCGTCCTGTTTCACCTATGTAATTTTTTGGATTTTTGGCAATTACAGTTGATTTTATAGACTACACCTGTTTTTTTTCAATATATCACTATTAACATATAAAAGAAATTATTTTGAAGTATATGATAATTTTTATAGACAAACCGATGGGGTTAGTATGGGGATCAAAGATGGGACCAAAACTTGCTGAATTATTGGGTTGTTCAGAAAGTAAGTTCATTTTTTTTACCACTAGAGGGATTAGTCGTATTTTTCCCACTATTTTCATTCTAAACTGTATTATCAATATCATTATATATTTTGACAGCTAGCATTTTAAGGCTTATTTGTAAAAAATTTTGTTTAATTTTGTGCAATTGTTTATTTCTTGCATCCCATCAAATATGGAAGGTCGAAAGCATCACTTTTGGCATATTTTGCTTTTTTATTACCAAAAAATCGAAACGCTGTTCAAGCAAGAAAAAAATTGTGGTACATGCATGGAAATGATGTGTTGAGAGAAAGACAGTGCCAAAACTGGTTTACAAAATTTCGTTCTGGCAATTTCAATATTGAAGATGCACCATGTTCTCTGGATGGCCAGTTGAAGGCAATGAAAACAAAATAAAGGTACTGATTGAAGCAAACTGCCAAATAACAACACATGAAATCACTAAGAGATTAAATCTGTCAAATTGAACTGCTTATGATTACTTGAAACAAATTGATTTTGTTTCAAAGCTCAATATATGGGTTCCACATGTTCTTAGAGAGATGCTATCTTTTGTGGGATTTTAAGGAAATTTTGTTTTTGGAGCTTTTACCAGACAATTTAACAATTGATTCGAAAGTGTACTGCCATCGAGTAAACAAAAGGTGGCCAGAGTTGATCAACAAAACAAGTGTAGTGTTTTACCATGATAATGTCAAATTTCACACAAGTTTGGTAACTCATCAGAAACTGTTATAACTTAGATGGGAGGTGCTATCACACCAACTATATTCACCAGATCGAGCACACTCAGATTATTACTTGTTCCAGTCTATACAATTTTTTTTTAACTGTAAGACATTTACTTGAAATGGCAATGTCAAAAATCACTTGGATCAGTTTTTTGTAAGCAACGATCAAAACTTTTATGAATGTGAAATCATAAACGATGACAACAGGTATTTGACCAAAATGGTTAATATATAATTCAATAAAATATTTATTTATTATAAAAATATTGT